TAGACAAAAGGACCTTCTCCTACTCCGCTCCTGTTTCCTGGAATATCTTGTAAAAACATCTGAAGCTCTCGACCTTTGACCTCTAAGTGGCTTCAAACATCTGATAAGTTCCTGGAAAAAACAATGCAGACATCCAACATTTTTCAGTCAGGTCATCTGGACAGTTTTAGTTTTTTGCTGAAACATTTCACCTTCCATCCAGAAGGCTTCGTCAGTCAAGGAAACACACAACACAAAACTGATTCTTCCCCCAACAGTTTACTCCAAAGTGGAACAAACCAGTTCTGTTGGTGCTAAGATGGTGTCTTTGGCACGCCCCCTCCTCCGGTGCCGACCCTCTCCCTCGTCGACAGTCATGTCTGATGAAGCCTTCTGGATGGAAGGTAAACGTTGCAGCACACACACAAAAAAAAAAAACTGTCCAGACGACCTGACTGAAAACTGTTGGATACCTGGATTATTGAGCGTGGACTTTGTCGGCCAACGCAGACAGTTCCTGTTTTTAATTTTCTACACTGTAATAATGTTTTCATGCTATTGGTGCTTGGTGTAAATTTAGTTTAATGTATTTCTTAGTTCAAATCTTTGATCTTATCATTGTTTTTCTTTTACATTTTATTGTTGGATGTAACTGGGACCCTGTGTACATAATTTTGTTCCACCACATGTACCACATGAGGTGCGAATGACAAAGAACTTTGAATCCTTAAATTTATCCAACTTATTCTCACTGAGTCACGAGGAATCATTTTCAAGAGACCAGTTTTAAACAAAATAACCACAGAGGAGGTACAGACAACAGTCATAAAAATTAATTTACGAGTATATATAAATACATATAAAACAATTAACGCTTTGTACAAAATCAGTTTAATGTTAACTGATCTAAACCTATGCAACCAGAAGTTGCAACATATATCTCTATTTAAAATACACAAAACGACTAACCTTTAATTTAACCACTACGTAGCCCGATTATAAAAAATGGAGGATTTATTTGCAGTTGCCTTCGTACACACCAGTGTGGTACTTCCTGTTTTGTTAGAAAGCCCTCGTTGTTTGTCTTGTTTACCAAGTTCTGTTTAGTTATAGCTTGTTTCTAAGTTTCATAATTCTTATGCTCTTAAATGCACCACAGATGTTCCGATGCTTGTGAACTAAAAAGGCCGTGCAAACCTGTTCTCCAGGAAATTAACAGGTTTAGAGCGGCAGGTATGAAGTTAAACCCATCCCTCTGACAGCAGTGTCTGTTCCACTTCAGGACAGACTGAGCTCACGGACTGGTCAGTTGCTGACAAGCTACTGGATTGATTGATTGACAGGTCGAGAATCAGATTCGTGCAAAAAATGATACATTTTACTGGCCCATTTAAGACTGTCATCATTTTTTCCATATTTATTCCAAATGTGTTCAATATTTTGGTGAATCTAAGGTTTGAGACTAAGTTTCCTCACAAATCCTAATGATGTTTCTAAAATGTTCAGGGGTGCGGAGTTAAAATTTAGGGGTGCACCCCCAAAGAGGCTGAAATCGCCACTGATTCAATGACACAATGACTACATGATGCATTCAATGACACAATGACT